CCTATTCAGTAAAAACTATAAAGGGTGGGTCACCCAAAACAAACACCTAACCCAGAGTTCTGTACAATAGGTGGGCAGAAAAAGCAACGTCTAGAAGTAAATCAATGAATACATGTCTACAACTGCTAATAACAGGCACATTTATAGTGTGGTAATACATCATCTAGCACTTGTCTCTAAATTGAGGAACAACAGCATCCCTATACCTCTCAGGAATGAAACTTAGCACCCTAATAGCAGCTCATCAGTGTGATCCAGATTTTAAGGTCTCTCTCTCTCAGCTTTCTGAAGATAAAGAAGGACCCACATTGACTGCTCAGCTCACACACTTCAGAGCAACACCCTTTATACTAATCTCTTTGCATCTCAAGGGCATCATAATTATAACATGTAATCTTTAAATGATCAGCGTAAGCTATGAATACAAGTTGTTCATGTGCACAAATGCTTAAAAACAAAGGCAAACGTGTTAATACACAGCACAGAGATATCAGTGGCGGAGATGTTTGGGATTGCTCACCTCCAATATCCAGCATAGTCTCATCACTGCTGTTGAGCACCTGCAGTACAGGAGGTACACGCTGCTTGGCCTCCAGAAGCAGAGCCTTCAGGTCCATCAGAACAGATTCATCTGTGTGGTGTAATATTGAATTTGTTATTATGAATTCTCCGACACCATAACAATACCAACAGACACCAAGTGAGTTCTTGTAACACCCGCAACAAATATGCTTACCGCATGACTTGTTAATAAAAGTGGTCGCTATGCCAGTGTTACCCGATCGACCAGTACGCCCTATTCTGTGGACTAAACAGGAAAAAAAAAAGGAGATGTTACAGAAAACGGAATACTTAAAAACCACCTATGATTGCTAGGTCTGCATTACCTCTGTACTAACAGTGTTAGGGAACAAGGGTGAAATTCAGGTAAACTGAAAAGTCCAGCTGCAATTGACAATGATTAGTAACACAATGGAGGTATGCTAGACAGGAACAGAGGTCCTGCATGAACTGCAGCATAGCAATTACACAGTAAAACACTGCTCCCCTCTACCTTTTGATAGTCATGCGACCTGTGAACTTCAGTAATGACCGCTGTCAGAAGACAATAGCCTGGCAGGAGGAAATAGCTATACAGTGTGGATTAGGAAATGAAACAGTTTCCTTGTTCAGCCCTGAGTCTGTAGGGGATAGCATCGGAGAAATGAGTAATGCAGCACTTTTAAAGGGTGATTCCACTTTCTCAGACAAATTTGGGAAAGTAGAATTACCCCCTCCAATGTGGCCACCTTGTAACCAGCCTGCTTTCCATGGAAGCAGCATGCCTGCTTTAGAGAATCAACTTTAAGTTCAGGCTCAGCTCCTTTATGCAAACTTACATAAAAAATAGGGGTGCTGTTATAGCAACTACATTTTTGTTTCCATTTATCAAGCAACACACACAAAAAAAGTAAACCACTATAGATGCCCCTGTGCTTTTTATGTAAGCGATCCAACGTCCTTTTAGAGCTTGAATATGAACATTATGTGCCGTGTACCGAGGGCTCATGTTTTAATCTCTCAGGTTGCCTTAGCCGCCACTGTTTCCCCAGGCAAGCAGTGACAGCTTGGAGGCATCACAAACTGAACCGTGTGAAGCAGTGTCAAAGCTTGCCAGATGCTGCAGGCACCATTTCTCTGAACACAAAAAAACAAAAAACTTTGTTGGCTTTTTACAAGGTATGTCTATTAAGGCATTTGGTTCCATGCATCCTTTCCATGCTGAGAAATGTGCACTAGTTTCCCCTGGTCTCTAGGAGTTCTTAGACATTCTATCTGTAAAGTAATTTTCTATCCTATCATGACATTGTATCCCTAAATTCTACCTCTCCTGGGGGCGAGGACCCTGCACCTAATTAGATATATTGCATTTTCAGTCACAGCATATGCATACAAATCATCAGAACACCACATACAAGAACTGCAGAACACATTACACCCCAGCAGCATTCACTTGATCCTTCACACCCACCATAGTTCTCTATCTCCTCTGGCATATCATAGTTGATCACATGTTGTATAGCTGGAAAGTCCAGACCTTTGGAAGCAACATCAGTAGCAACCAGAACATCTTTGTTTTCCTCCCGGAAAGCCTCAATTGCTTTTGTTCTCTCCTCTTGATCTGAAAGAGCAAGACAAGTCTTGTTAAACGTACAAGTAGTAAAGAAGTGGTAGGAAAACTTTACAGGGGTACCACGGCACCTGTGACTTTACTTGGCATGACTTAAAAGAGGAACTTTATTCATATCTTCAAAATAACAACAAAGACACCTTTATAAATGTTTAGTAATGACAATTGACAAACACATACTTCTAGATAATTGCAGGCTTTTTATTCTTTGCATACCCTATTTTTCCAACAGTGGTCCTTTTTTTTTTTTTACAAAGGGCAGATGACCCCATCTTCCTTTACTTCCTGGAACTCTGGCACCTGTGACTAGGACATCATCTCAGGGGAGGAAAATGCCTTTGCCTGAGATTATGAGATTACAGATGAGATTTCCCAGTAATGCTGTGCTGATGTAACCTTCCCAGGATGCATTGGTTGGGCACATTACATCATTTGTGCCTGAGTGGACCAGGCAGTAGAAAAAAAGAAATGATAAGTAAAATAAAAATATGGTTTGTTTAACTAAGGAATGCAAGATGATTTCATATTAGCATGCAGAGCTGCAAAGCTGATTTGATTTTCAGTGAAAGGGGGTAAAGGTACACTTTAACATCATTAAAGAAGAAGTCTCACCAAAAAATAAAACTGTTTATCTTATCTGCCAGGGGACCAAATGCATATTACACATGGTTCCGTTGAGATTGGTGGCCCCATTGCAGTAGAAAACACCTCTTTATTTAGGTTAATGCTGGCTGTGGCTCCAATCATGAATGAACAAGGACTGTGTGATAGGGCTGCCGTTCATTTGCAAAAGATCACTCAGGACTACAGGGCTATGTGTCCTATCTGCCAGGGCTGCTGGTAGATAGATCACAGCCCTGAGTAAGCTTTTATAAATAAATGCTCAGAGCTGCAAGGCTATGACCTATGCCAGCAGATGGATCATAGCCTGCAGCGCAGAGTAATCCCTTATGAATGACATCGCTGGTCTCCAGTGCGATCCCTGATGCCAGAGACCAGTGCTGTCACTAAAAACTCTGTCTGCTTTGCTAGCAGCGAAGTTGGACAGAGGTGCTTAAACTGTCTGGCCACGCTGCTTGGCAATGGCAGAAAGGGGGCTTCTCATGTGAAGGGGGAACTCTAATATAAAGGGGGTTTCTGTTGTGAAAGGGGGGTTCCTTATGTAAAGTAGACAGCTTCGGAAGTGAATA